TTAATAAATTAAGAAGATCCCCGGAAAGAATAGTCAGAATGTTGGGAAAGTAGGTAGTACTTGAAGCTACAGTGAAACATTCATTCTCCAACAACTTGAAAGCAAGATTGGCCTTTGATAATTGAACTAATGAAGTCTACTTGTCAGAATGGGATTGACCAGCTCAGGGGCCTGAACAGAAACACTATCTGTAAGCAAGAGACTGTGTGAGTGTACAAGTGAGTTTGATATTTTTCAGAAAATGAGGCTGGAAAATGACCATGATAGAAGAGAAAGAAATATAATCAACAATAATGTTCCCATTCTAGAGAAAGGCAGAGTGAATAAAATGGGTAGAACAACATGGGGCACACAAGAATTCTGATATATATGAGCTATCACTGTTACTAAAAATTAGCATTGTGTTGGCCCCTTTAATCTTTGGTTATTCTTTCCTTTTGGGTGTTTAAGGCCATACAGTTGGCCCAGATAAACCAATTTATTTAGACTCTTAAGGTCGTTTGAGGATCTGTTCCTCTGGGGTCACATGGGCTTGGGAGGAGCCCCTGGCTCCTCTCTTTCACCAGTTCTGCCTATGTGAAGATAAGTCAAAGGTCCTGCTTGACGGTGGTTGGCTTCACTTGGAAGCATGGAGGAAATGATTCCTCTGTGTTGACCACCCTTTTTATAGACTAGACACTGGTTCAAGTCCATCTGGTGGAGTCTCCTCAGCCTCCTTGATCAAGAGGACAGGTGACCCACCACCATTATAGGACATTTTGAGAGATGCTCATAGTCCCCTGGAAATAGTCAACCTAGGAGGGCTAGGAACAAAAAGTGTCCTTTATGTCCCTCTGATCAAATTATTATAGGCCTCAAAGTATGTCTGTTAAACACCAAGAAGGTTAGTTCCACCAGTCTGGTATTTTTAATTACTGTGCACCATGTAGATAAATCTTGGGCAAAGACCAGTTGTTCTCAGATTTCATAAGAGTCCATATGTATAGCTAAAGGCTACATAACAAGGAACAATGCCAGATAGGTGATACCTTCTTTTGAGTTGTTGGCCAGGGTGGACAAAGAGATTCCCAGATAGGGATTCATTAACCCAGCATAGAACTGGGAAAACAAACAGCAGACCCCAATCTTATCCAAAGGAATATTGACAACTGATTACTGCTAGGCGAGGAACAGCTGACCCTCCTAAAACAAAAACCTCTAGATAGGCTGACTAGATTCCCTAGAAGGGCAAGTAGTGGGAACTT